ATCAAGTTCCTTGTGAGCCATAGTATCAATATTTTCTAAGATAAACTTGTTGGTAAGGCCTGTTATTTGCTTTGAGAAAGAATGAGTGATACCTGTGCACTTGTATTGAATGTGTTTGAGCTTGACCACTGTGAATGTCCTTGCCTGTTTTCTCTTCTCATCTGTATCAACTTAGGATAATAACCCTGGCTGTTACCACCAATCTGGATTCATGGACACGCACTTCCCTAACTCACTCATGTGGATAATGTATTCATCCTATAATGCTGTATTTCAGTTCCAGGGCAGTGATGGTTGGGGCACAATAGTTGCCACAAGTAAACGTAATGAACCGTTTAGCATTAAACTGCAGTGTGTTACAAAGTATCTCCTGGTGTCTCTCACTCTCTCTCCCTAACCATCTGTAGGAATAATCATGTAAGACAGTTTTTGAAATAGTGACACAACCCAGTGAGCATACCAAGCATTAAAATCTAGTTCAAGTTAACATACCGTTTCTGACATTGACCTCATTAATGCTGCTGTATCACATCTGATTCTTAAATATAAAGTGCTTTTAGCTAGTTATATTTCTTTGGTGAGCATAAAATTCACAAGTGAAGAGAAAATAACCCATTTTAGTTGTGATGAGAAATACAATAACCCATCACCATAGCAAAGAGTATATTTTATTTGAAAAATACGAATAAAAGATTTTGTCCCTTTTGTTTATTAAAAGAAAACATAACAATTTCTATCAGTAACACTTGCATAAGGAGGTATACTTTACATTACATTTTTGTTAAAAAAAATATATATATATTTTGAGACTTTGGAAAAATAAGGATGGCCCAATACTTGCAACACACTTAATGTTCCTTAGAATACACTGTGCCATTTATCTGTACTGCAAGTACAAGGTCTTAGCACTTTATTATCTACAAAGTAACCCTAGGCAGGTTCATATTCCTCTCTGCATTTAGAACATTTCCTTTGTTACCCTTTAAGTAAGTCTATGAGTTTGTCAACCCCAGACTGGTCCAATATTTAGATTTTCTAAAGGATGATTTGACAAAACCTTAGGCCACAGAAAATGTGTGATTCCTTTTAAATACCAGTGAGAATATTTGACTTAGATATTTTCTTCCAGTATTCGCAACATAAACAACTGCATCAATTAGAATTTAAAACCAAAAAAAAAAGGTTATTAGTTTGGTTTTATAAGAAGAATGCAGAAAATAAAGTGCATAACAGAGTGAAATTACTTTCAACTTTTAGTCTTCTATGTTTATATAATATATGGTGACAATTATAAACCAATTGTTTCCAATGTATGAATCTTAATCTAATGACAGTTGAATTCAAGCTCTTCCTTGACTGTGAAGTGTATTAAATTACATATTTTACTGTTTTTAGGTTGACAATACATTTTCACATTTTAAAGTACTTACAAAGACCATTTTCTCAGATGACATGTCAAGACTAAAGCATACTGAGTCCCCATACCATTACAAGAAAGAGGATTTGTTTGAAAGAATGAAACAAATTGGGGTTTTTGTAAATGTACTATTAGTTGAATAGCCATTGCAGTAATAAACTTGTAAATCATAAAGCCCTTAAACATTACTTTGTATGTGCCATTTAACTTTACTCATTATCTTCCAATTTAAGTAAAACCAGCAGTTTTCAGGGTTTAGTTGTCAAAGCAGCAACAGGATTACTATTTAGGCTGACAGGAAAATATCTGAGAATATGAGTACACAAAAGATCCATGAAAGCTTTAAACAAAGTCTATACAATAAGACGTAACCATAAACCAGGAAATTTTCCCATAATACTTTCACAGAATGTATACTTCATTTAAACCAGCAGTGCTACAAAATGATTGTGCCCTCCATGGCATCATGTTAATATTCTTCAAGATTAATCAATGTTAACACAGAAATTCTCAAGTACAGTTTAGATTTGTTTCTAGGACACAAAGAACCAAATAACAAATTCTGAGATCAGAAAAATAAATCAGTAAACCTGTTCTTTCTACATTGTGAAGCCTTTTTCTATGGCTCTGAAGATTTCATATTCTGCTATTTGTCTTGCAAACAACACGGCACTGTGATGTGACTTTGAGTTAAAAAAACAGTAAGCATGGAAAGCATGCAGATGTTATCATGACAGAAAAGCACATTGGGTAATCACTCTGGATAGGACATACCAAGCAGGACACACCAGAGTATCACTGAATCCATTTCTCAACATCCCTGCAGAGTTTTGAAGGATACAGAATTCCTGGAGCTGTGGGTTTAATGCACACGCTGTACAACAGCACAGAGCACCAGGAACGGTGAAAAGGGCATTCTTAATTCTCTCAGGTATGACCTCTTCCTCTCATTAACATCAGAACAAGAGTGTTAGGAGTGATTATTTGCTCATGTCAATGCAATTGTCTTGGCTTTAAGCTAGAATGTTCTATGATACAAATATATATATATATAAAGTGGTAATACTGCTTAAAACAAAAAATACAATTGATTTTCCCTGCTTCAGTGTAGGGCCAGAGGGAACAGACATAACGCTGACATAATGATAACTAATACCTGGCTCTAGAAGCTATAATACAACAATGAATGCAGTTTTCATGCAGATGTAGTACAAAGTATTATTGCCTATGGTACTACTAATGCTGCAAGATTTTCTTCTTAACACTCCACAATATAAAAATTCAGATGTTGGCATAAAGCAAGTGTGATCTAAATAAAAATAAAATTTCTCCTTATAAATTCCTGCTCTACTAGTTGCTTCATTTCAGACAAAACTGAAAGATATACGAAGTCCACTCCCAAAAAAGACAATACATAAAGCATTTTCATCTTGGGTATAACTTACTGCATTAAAGCATCTGGCTAACTTTACAATCAAAATGTCTTCTTAATGCATTTCTAGAAGATTCTGTATTTGGTAAATTTAAACAAACAAACAAACAAAAAAACAAACCCAAAAACCTGAGCATGGATTATTAAACAACTTCCAAATAATCAGAGGAATATTTTAGGATTCAGGGTTCTTTCCCCTCTAAATTGCCTTGTGGGTTCAGATGTTGACAGAAAGTGAAACATTACAATTTTTAAGTTGAAAACTTGAAACAGTGTAGCAAAAACCAATTCTGGAACTATAGTGCAACTAATATTTTTTAGAATTTGAAGTTTCTTGCAACGTTACCTGCTAATTTTTCCAGTAGGCTGCTTAAACCAGAAGCAGTACATAACATCTCAGTAAGATCATTTCGAAAAAGTCACGTCTAGGATGTACTCAACTACAGGAAAGAAGGGTAAGCTTAATACATTTTAATTAAAACTGGAGGAGGGGAAATTTAGGTTAAACATTATAAGAAATTATTTAGTGTGAGGGTGGTGAGACAGGCTTCCCAGGGAAATTGTGGAAATCCCATCCCTGGAAGTGTTGAAGGCCAGGTTGGATGTGGCACTGAGCAACCTATGGTAGACGCCCCTGCCCATGCATGGGGGATTGGGCCTAGCTGATCTTTAAGGTCCCTTCCAACCCAAACTATTCTATGATTCTATTAATATTCTGGTTCACGTCTGTGGCCCACATTAGGTCAGCAATACAGACCCTGCTTGGGGTGCAAAAGGCATTCCTTCTCTACTAAGCTGAAGGTAAGTGGCACCTAAAATGCATAGGGAGGAATCTAGTGGAGTATACAAATCTGTATTACACCAGCCCACAGAGTAAAATAACAGTACACAACTGATAAGCAGTTCTGCTAAGCTAAAATTTACTAACATGAGAAATAAATTTATTTGATTAATGCATTTTAATAAATTGATGCATTTTCATTATTTCTTTTATTGACTTAAAAGGTTTGTGTTCCCATGAAGCTTGAAATAGGGAGAAAAGCTTGCTCTGCTTAGATGGAAATTGGTCTAAAAGACATTAAATATCAGTAGATTGAACTAAAAAAAAACCCCACAAACCCACATCATTTTACTCTCTTTGTTTCAATTTTCTCTATTCTAATGTCTTACAAACCACTCTATTTTGCTTTTAGTCATGCATGGAAATAGAGAGACATTATGATTAAGAACCCTGTGTTGTAAACTGACTGTTGTAGTGCCTGGACTCAGACCAGAAAAAGACCTGAAAAGCTTCATCTGTTGATATAAGTGAAGCACAGTGAACAAAACAACTGCATAGTTTAACGGTGCTGCCATTGCTGTTTTTATTGAAAGAGCCTATGCTTCATCTATTTTGCTGCATCAAGTGTGCTTTGGACCCATTCCATTTAAATGAACGATGTTTCTGTGAAAAGACAAAAAGAAAAAGCACAATTCTGGAAACAGCAGTTCCTCTAGCACACATTATCAGAGCAGGTCTGGCGTTATGGGCTAGAGCCATGTTTGTATTAACATCCGTCCTGCTGTTAGCTTGTTATGGATGAGAAGATTATGAAGGACATAATGAAATTACATCATCTCAATGCAATCTGCTAATTCAGTAAGATTAAATCATCAATGGACCATTTATTTATGAGGACAGTTTTAGGTTATCCCTTCTGTAGAAGGAAACACTGTTAGCATTTCTCACACTGATAGTAATCCCCATCGGCTACCTCACACTGGGATCACAAGGCCTAGAGCACAGCTTGAAATGCAACATTACAACCACCTGCAAGAGATTTACTCCTTCATTAGCTATCTTCCTAAAAAGACATGACAATAAACTTACTGTAGCTTAGAGATGTTTAGGTTTTGTTACAGATACAGTACCATGGACTTTATTGAGCAACTAAAAAAATATACACAAGGGACAATAGCTTCTTTTTTCTGTATTTTTCAAAATTTTACTTTCTTCCAATTGGAGAACCCAGTTTCAAATACGAAAAGGGCACTTGTTCTACAGTAACTGCATACAACTTGCTCAGTTCCAAGTACTGTATTCATTTTTTGTTACTGTTGCTGTTGTTATATCTTCAGTTGTTAGGAACTTCTCTGTTCTGGGAATTATAACTAAGTTGTTCTTTCTGATTCTATTTCTCCATAGAGTTCAGCTAGCTTCTTGAACTCAGGTCCCCAGTCTCCAAGGTAATTATAATCCTGGTCAGAGTGTGTTGTGGCTGAATCCAGAGAGCTGATAGATCCAGCTTCTGATCTATGACCCTCATAGGCATATGTCTGTAGGGAGTCGTATGGGGGCACACTTGGGTCCAGATCAGCCTCTACCAGTCTTTGTTTTATGAACTCCTGAACATCTATACTGTCAAGGCTTGAAGAGAGATGATGCCTGGGCATAGGCTTCACTTCAGGATGAACATCCCTCCGGTATTTTAGCTCCTCAGCAGCTGATGGATTCCGCAGTGCTGTGATATCAAATGCTTCTGTGTCTTCTTCTCCACCACCCTCATCATCATATGTCACAACATTTTCCCGGACATCTTCTTCTGATATGATCAAGGGCTCCTTCTTGCTACGTCTTAGGGTGATGAAAAGGACCACAATTGCTAAAGAGAAAACTGCAGATATTAGGTTAGGTTTAAAGTTTACATCTGAGGTAAGTACATATATGCTACAGAAAGCAGAGGCTACTAAATTATGAATAGAGGCTGAATACTTTCAGGATAATACTGGTATTCATGAACATTACATCAGGCATGTGTCTGTAACAAAGGGTAACCAAACCTGTCCAATCTAGAAAAGACAGTATGTATATTCCTAGGAATAAACTGAGCAGTGCCTTTGTTGCATAGCAAGATACCTGAAGATAGATTACTATATGCCTGGAAGGCACCCGTGAAATCCATGCAGCTGTGTTTTGACATAGCAACATGTGGAAATGCAAAAAGCTGAGACCATACAATTAAGGAGAAAATTAATAATGCAATAATGCTGTACTGAATCTGATACAGCCTTGTCTTCCAAAGTACCAGTAAAGAGAACTCTTCTACTGTATATTTTCTTAGTGGGGATTGCTGAGGCTTCTTGAGCCAATAATTTGTGTCCAGTTCTGTGCCCCTAAGTTCAAAAAAGACAGGGAACTACTGGAAAGAGTCCAGTGCAGAGCCACAAAGATGATGAAGGGAGTGGAACATCCCCCTCATGGGGAAAGGCTGAGGGAGCTGGGTCTCTTTAGTTTGGAGAAGGGAAGCCCGAGGGGCAACCTCATCAATGTTTACAAATATGTTAAGGGCAAGTGTCAGGAGGACGGAGCCAGGCTTCTTTCAGTGATGTCTAGTGATAGGACAAGGGGCAATGGGTGCAAACTGGAACATAGGAGGTTCCACGTAAACATCAGAAAAAGCTTATTTACTGTGAGAGAGACAGAGCACTGGAACAGGCTGCCCAGAGAGGTTGTGGAGTCTCCTTCACTGGAGACATTCAAACCTGCCTGGACATGTTCCTGTGTGATGTGCTCTGGGTGATCCTGCTCTGGCAGGGGCGTTGGACTAGACGATCTTTCAAGGTCCCTTCCAACCCCTAAGATTCTGTGATTCTGTGATAATGACATCCACTAGTTAGATTATCAGGGAGATAAAAGAAAATAACATACTTTCAGTTAAATAAGAAATTAGTAACTAAGCCTGACTTTTTCAGAAGCACTATTAAGGGCTTTCAGTGCTTCCATAAAACTGATATTTAGGGTATATACTGAATGAAAATGTAAAAAGTTTTATTTTTTTCTCTTACAAATATTCAATATTGGATGATAAAATGTAAGATCATAAACTGAATCACAGAATTGTTTTTTGTAAAAGATGCATTATTAAACATTTGTAATCACCTTTCTGACAAGGTAGTTCTGAAGTAACCTGTGAGAAAAATAGTCTTTGGAAAATGCAAAGACTTTGGAAATAAAAATTCCTCAAAATTTCCAGTATGCGTCACAGTGCAATTCTCATTATTTCTTGTCATTTTTATAAGAACTAAGAAAAGCTTAAGTAGCACAGAAATATGTACCCAGCATAATGGTGTCATCTTATAGTCTCAAATGTCCCTTGCCCCTGTGGATTATGTTGTGCATTGCCATCAGTTTATCCCACAAAGGTAATTAAGAAATGGCTTTTGTACAGTGGTAATGGTGCTCCTTACAGTGTAATGTATTTCAAAAAGCTTTCCTCCTCTCTTTTCTATCATTTTTTTCACATTGTTCTAGACATAGAATTAGAGTCAGTAGCTTTTTTGAAACCTTTCCAAATTAGGGAAAAAAGATCTGCAGTGCTAATTACTTCATAACCTCTGAAAAAAATATTTTCCACTGGATTACAGATATTTATGAATGTACTTTAAATCATAATTTTAGCTAAACCTTTCCCCCTGAATCACAGCTCTTTTTCTAATTACTTAATTCTACCAGGAAGCAGCCTCTGGTTCAAAAAATATATCATATTAAAAATTTCTGCCCTCTCACATTCAGAGAGCCAGTGGAAGGGTAGCATTACTTAATACTGAAAGTGACTTACCAAGAAGAATGACAACACAGAGCAGGATTGCAATTAAAGCTCCTGTGCTCAAGCCAGCTGAGGAGAGGAAAGCTTCAGCATGGCAAGTTCTCACTCTTCCATCTCTCTCACATCCACAAACCCTAATTGTGAGAGTACTGCTGCTGCTGAGAGGGGGCACTCCACCATCAGAAATCAAAACTGGGAGGTAATAGATATCTTGAGTGGTTCGACTGTATTTCCTTCGTCTTGTCAGGATACTGGCTGTATTATCTACAAGATGAAATCAGAATAGAATTTTAATGAAGTAAAATATTTCAAAATGTTATTGTTTGTTTCCTGTCTAGTAGAAGCACAGGGCACCTTAAAACGAGACAGTCTTAAAAATCTACAATCTAGAATTAAAACTTGACAGGAAGCATTTGTGGCCAACAGAAAAAAAAAAACCAAAACACAACAAAACAAAACAAAAAAACCCAACCAACCAAACAAACAAAAAACCCAAAAAGTAATTAGCATTACATAAATAAAGTTCTAGAAGCTCTAGTGTCTGTTTTAGAGTCTATATGGGCTTTGATGAATGGTTAGGGCCCAGTTTGCAGGTTTTTTTGTCCTATTTTATGCTGTTGGTAACATACAGACGCTTGTAAATGTGGTTTCCCACAAGACATATATAAGGTGGAAAGTATTATTCATACTGCTGAAC